CGAGAAAAAAATGCTTCATTCCTGTTTCCATGATTGCAATAAGCTGTTCATCAATCCCTTCTGGCAGCCTCACACTTGTGCGGTTTTGCGGTGCTGCCGGTCCGTGGCATTAAGTCATTATGTGCGTATGTTACTCGCGAGTTTACGAGACTTTCGTTTGACTCCGCTTTTGCACACTGACGTCAGTTTGACTTACGACCGACCTTCAACTTACCGGCAGTAGCTTACTGATGACCCCACTTGACCGGAGGTCCTCTGACTGTTCAACTTGCCATCTCAAAGCATGGAAAGTGGGGTCATAGGTTTAGAGCTGAACATGGGCTCACTACGGGCCATACTGTCGCAGAAAAGAATTAGGCAGGAATGAGAATTTTGATGTGGCCAATAAGGATGTTGTTAACCGACAAGGATTAGACCATATCTTCTTGCGTACCAAACCACAATAAAAACAGAGGTGCAGTAGGTTTATTCGAAGCATTTGAACAACACAAAGCATTACAGAAAGCCTTTTTGGTTTTCAAAGTAAAGCATGAAATAAAATTTATTGATACACTGAAAGTTCTTTGAATCCCGCTCTGAAAAAAACATGTAAAAAAGAGACAATATTCCTCTCGTCTATGTTTTGAGCTATCAGCTATCAATTAGCATATAGTGACCTGACTAAGTGTCAGAGTGGTGGACCCGCTTGAAGTGTGTCGCTGAAGGTCTTCACAAGGGCGACTCCCGCTGAAATGTCGACCTGTTCCCTGGTGCCGTTGTATTGATAAACAGATAGCAATCTTGGAAACGTTTACGGACTTACTGAGAACTACTATTGAACTCAAAATGCTAAAATCCGAGGATGGTTGAGCATGGTACATCAACTGTTCTTGCCTGGAGCTTTTTCACTAAAAGTTTTGGTCCTGTGACCCAGGCAAGCCAAGTTTAGAAGGCGGGGTAGAGCGTACCCAAGAGAACCTTTCACCTCCTTTTTTTCAAGAGCTACAGCTCTTTCATGTAACTATCTATACACATTAGGGAGCAAATCGAAGATTTGACCCTTCTCCTTTGCCCTTGCCCTCCTCTACTAAGTCATAATGGTACATATTTTGAATGGAAGAGTGGATGGTTTTTAGGAATTTTTTTTCGCAAAAAATGAAAAGATGTCTAGACGTACAAAAGTACCACAGAGCAAGAAGGGCAACAAACATAAATCGCCTTATATCTTGCTAAAAAATAGCGGAAAAAGGGATGTTTTTCTATTGATTCCATTCCATTTTCTATTCAGCATTTGGCAAGTTCGTTCCCATGAGACTGCCCAATGTTGGCTCGACGCACTTTCCTTCGCATATAAGAGCCCTTAATATGCAGAAATGCAGACTTTTTGATAAAATGCGAGACCCTCTTCATAATCACCTGTACAAAAAGGTGTGCTCAGATATTGACCATCATGTGAAGAAATTCATAGCTAATCGTGAACGTCGGCTTGCATCTAAAGCTTCATCTAGAGGTCTTTTCATGTATTTGAAAGCAAGGTTGAAACCCAACGTGAATCTGCCAACGCTTGAAAATCAATCAGGATCCCTGTTTTACAGTGATGCTGATAAAGCTAAGGCGCTTGGTGCTTACTTCTCAAGTGTTTTTACCGCAGATAACAGCTCTGAGAATTATTCTACTGATGGCTTGCACACTGTTCACGGTAGTTGTTCCAATGTATATTTTGAACCGTCTGTGGTGTTCAGCTATTTGAAACGTTTGAAGCCGTCCACTACAGAGACTTATGACGGTATTCCCCCACTTTTTTATAAGAAATGTGCATCATCTTTGGCTGCCCCATTGGCGCATTTGTTCAATATCTCCATGTTGCTTGGTGAGATGCCAGACCTTTGGAAGCATGCGCTGGTGAGAGCTATTCCAAAAACCCAAGGAGCTAAGCTGCTGAGTGACTTCCGTCCTATCAGCTTGTTACCAGCACCTGGTAAAGTAATGGAGCGAATCATCAGAGAAAAGTTATTGTCCTGGCTCAACAAAAACAACCTTATCCCTCCAGAGCAGCACGGTTTCATTGATGGTGCCTCTACAACAACCAATCTCGTTGACTGCGTTTATGATTGGAGTCTAGCTTTGAATCAAAAGCAAGAAATAGATGTGCTCTACATCGATCTTTCGAAGGCCTTTGATAAAGTTAGCCATGCAAAGTTACTTGTAAAGCTCAAAATGATAGGGATCAGTGGTGCATTGTTGTCGTGGCTTACGTCTTATCTACAAAACCGCTTCATGACTGTCAAGGTTCGTGATGCATATTCGGATGCATACTGTTGCTCAAGCGGCGTACCCCAAGGAGCGGTACTATCACCGCTACTTTTTCTCATATACACTTTGGAATTGCCAAGTCTTCTTAGAATTTCGCAGGATGTAAAAGTAAAGATGTATGCGGACGACATAAAGATCTATGCAGCATACAGCCCTCATACCCGGCACAGGGTACAATCCGAATTGCAGTTATCTCTTACAAAATTGCAAGATTGGGCTACCCAATGGAACCTATCTTTGAATCAAAATAAAAGCTGCGTCTTACACATAGGTAAACATGCTGCAGGCACATATGAAGTAGGAGGGGTTATCTTGGGATCGCGCTGCTCTGTTAGGGATTTGGGTGTCATCGTCGATTCGAGACTTTTATTTAGTGAGCACATTGATAAAGCAGTTAGGCAAGCATACTCAATGATGTACAGACTTTTACGGTGCGTTAAAAGTGATTCTCCTGTGATGCTTACGCGCCTTTATAAGGCACTAATTCGCCCTCATCTTGAATACTGCTCACAGGTTTGGAATCCTAACCGTAAAAAAGACATCAACAAGATAGAAAAAGTACAGAGAACATTTACTCGTCTTTTATATCGGCGAATCTTTCCTGACCGTTCACCACCAAAATATGATGTTCGTCTCAAAACACTCAATCTTCAGAGTCTCTTTCGGCGAAGAAATTGTTCTGATCTAACTTTTTGTTTCCAAGTTGTTAGAAAAGAAGTCAGATTAAAGGCAAGCAAATATTGGGTCTTCATGCCTATCAGTGAAAGACTGGGGGGTTTCAATTTACACTATGGTAAAATCAGGAATTATAGCTCATCGAAAATGTATCACAACATATTTTGCAAATCTGCAAGGTGGTTTCAACGGCTACCAAAAGAAGTCCACAGTGCATCAAACTCTTATTCTTTTCGAGCAAAATTGAATGATGTGGACTTTTTATGATTCACTTCAAGGTTGACTAAAGTTTGGTTGACTCTCAATGTGTTAGTGGCTCACTGCATGAGACCAAGTGCTAGCGCTTATCGCTGGTGTCTTAAGGCTGAGCCTTGACATTACCTTTCAGCAATGCTCGGGTGTTTGGGACCAAGAGGCTTTAGTAGCCACTTGTCGTAAACACTTGGGCCTTGTGGCTTTGATTTAGGTTTCTGCATGGGCCGACTGCGATTGTACGTCTATCTTTCTCCCACTGCTATCCAATGCCTGCTTCTATCTACTGCATGGTACCTTTGGCAACAATGGTTTTCCGCGCTGGTTTAACCTTCATCTCCATCGGTATTTGGAATCCTGCTCTTGGCAACCATAACTCCCTGCTGATGACCAAATGATTGCCCCTGCCGATATTTTGAATTAAAATCTTTCTTTTTCCACTTCTGTATCTTTTCTTTTCTTTGGCTTCATTAGACATGGCATTTGATACATATAGTTCTCCCCATCAAGTTTTATCTGTTTGATTTATTCTCCATGGCTACACTAGTTTTAGGACCTAGACAAAGTAGGCCCGCTTTCGGCTTGAGCCCTTGATTGTCGGATTTTTACTATACTTACACTTCGTCCAACGTTGGCTTGGGTCCCACCCCCTTTTTTGTTGTTCCTTAGTAACAGCTTGTTAGGCTTGATCGCTTTGCATATTGCTATCTTCTCTCCATCGGAGTTCTGCTCTCTCCCCAGAAATTAGTTGGGCGAGCTTAGTCATACTATCATACTTGGTTGGATTGGCTTTGTCATACAGTACATTGCGTAATCTCAATACCCGCTACCCAGCTACAGTTGCTTATCGAATGATTTAAGAGCACTTGTGCTGCAAGCAGGGGGCATGAGGCAGACTCCATCGAGATTCTTCGCCTATGACATGATTCCGTTCATGGTCTAAACAAGCTTATTTCCCTTTTCTTTATACAACATTCGGGGGCTGGACTTAAGCTGATTCAATGGATGTTTTTTTGTGTTACTGTTTTCCTTACTACTGAATGTATCTTGAGTTTTTTCATTGACTGTGGTCATGTGGCACGCATTTTGCGTATCAAATAAATAAATAAATAAATAAAAATAATGTTAGGTTCATAAGTCCTATCAGGCTTTAAGTTAAGCTCTAACTTCTTACGGCGATTGTCAGTGCATAATATTAATAAAGCTCCAGGGCACCATTCGATAGAGCAAAGCAAGCTCTACAAGGATGGACAAAATTCGCACCGGCTTCGACCCACCGTGAGTTTGCATCCAGAATCTTATTCGTACTGAGGGCTCAATAATGAGAAAAAATTTATGTTTTTGTCCTAACCGTAGATTTTCGTTTTCTACATGCCAGTTTTTAAAAATTACCGAATTTAGCTCTTCTCATTTTTATATCCCATGCTAAAATCGTTATGTCTCGGAAACAGAACCCGTGGAACGCTGAAAAGTTACACTTCCAAGCGCTTGTACTCTACCATTACATGAATGGGAACAGCGCAGCTTCATTTTTGTATAAGCATGAGAAATTTTGTTTTCTCGATTTGAGAAAAAATACCCCGGTACAATGAGTGTCTGATGTGGTGTGCAATCTGTATGAGCACTGGAGCTCCGTAGGATTGTTTTGGACGAAGATATGAATGTTCATTTATTTTTGAGCCTTCAGTATGACTGATTCTGGGTGCAAAATTACGGTGAGTCGAAGCTGATGAGAAGTTTTGTAAACCCTTGTAGATCTTGCTTTGCTCTATCGAATGGTACCCTGGAGCCCTATTAATAATATGAAGTGCGTGACTTATCGCCGTAAGAAGTTAAAGTGTAACAAGACTTATGTCACAACCTGGTAACAAGGCGAATTATCATATTTGAGTACTACAAGAACAACACCGAAGCTGATTATGTGGTATTCGCTGCGTAGTAGAGAAGTTTGCTACGTCAAACGCATATGTCCCGGTTTCACAATCGTTAAATAGTGCCACTTACAACAAATAACATAATATATCGGAATCGCAGGCAAGGAACGCACGGTGCCAAAGTTTTGTCCTTATAACCTAGATGCTTCTTAAACTCTATAAATATGTCGATGTAATCAAAATAAGATCAAAAGTAATTTGCATCGCATAAGAGCAGACTCAAAATAATCACTGAAATTGCTAGAAGAGCGGGCATATTGGAGGTCAATTCCATGGCTTCATTGCAAAGATCTGTGCTACAACAACAAAATGTCGCCATATCGCTAATTTCATTGCATCCATCCTGAAAGTTATTTTGTTAAAACTCTTAGCGCAAACACCCAAACCTGTATTTTCGTAAATACCACAGCAACACACCAGAAGTACACTCAGACACACTTACTCTTTGATTCAACTGGATTGGCGGCTGAAAGGAGAGGCTTTGTGACCTAATTAAGGCCAGAAAATGATCAGAGAGCACTTCGCGAAGGAGACACAGATTGCGTCACGGACGTGAGCGGTCGCCTTCCAGCCGCCAACTTCGTTGAATCAATATTTCCGTCTGTCTATCCAAAGTATACAGCAACTTACCGTGCATGGCTCTTCAGCGCAACTATAGTAGTGCAGTGTGGACGAATTGTTGTATTCTGTGAGGCTAAAAAATATGTTCTCCTGATGTTTTCCTTACAATGAAAACTTACTTCGTGCAGTGGTTTCCCTCAGGACATGTTTTAACAACTTTGTTTTCTCCGTGGTCCGCTGAAAATGATAAGTAAAGGATTTAACTCGAACTCGTTAGAATAATGCTTTCATGCCAAGTATTTTTGTATCATTAGTTTGCCCCAAAAGTAAAACCTATTTTCAAATGAATTGAACTATTTTTGTTTTCCTAACATACTTAGGGTACCATTCGATATAGAGGAGCAAGCTCTACAAAAAGTCCACCGAAAAACCACCTAATTTGTAATCCAGGTAAAACTTGGAGTCAAACATCAAAATTTTTCAGCTGCTCCAAAAGTCGGATTTCCTTCCAGAATTTTCCTACGGGCTATAGCTTGGTCTTTCTATAGCAGACAAACTCGGAATTTCTTAATTATGAGGGCATCTACAGGGGTAAGGTTTTCAGCTGTAAGTAAGGCTTGTAGTGTACAATGGCATGTGTGGGAGGGGTTGAGAGCGAAGTCCGCCATTTTTGGACTATCTTTTTCTCGCTTTCTGCGCGCGTAAAAAATCTAGTAAAGGGACATTTGCATACTACTGTGTGCCGACTCTATAATGAAAGTTAGAAGTGCGTAGGATTTTTTCTTGCAAAAATCAGTCTTCAGCTGACAAAATTTTCGCCGATTTTGGTTTCAAACTTTATGTTGAACAAACTAAGAAAGATTCTTGGTGGCCATTTGCAGAGCTTGATCTGTTCTATCAAAAATACCTCAAGTCTACTAGAAGAACAAAAACAGCTTAAATTGTTTAGAAAAAAGTTTGCTTTTGGGACAACCTTATATGGTTTCATTGTCAGTCTTTCGAAAAGGTTTTTGCACTCGCTTCACCCTTCAAGGGAGACTCAGAGAGTAAAAAGCTCTGGGCAAGAAGTTATAGATGTTTCAAGCATAATTTGCTATTTCTTTGAAAGAGCTCGATGTTCCTAGTAAATCATCGAAATGCTTGAAACTACTTTGAGATGGTTATTTGAATCACTGCGTCAAGCTGGTTTTCTAAAACTAGTACAAGCCCGTTGGTGCTCAAAAGCTCTGGCTTGCGAATCGTAATTGGTCAAAAGGCTTAAACCAGTATATACTATTTTGAGATGGGTATAAAGTCATTGTGTCACTAACTATGTTATGCGCTGAAGCTGTATTTGTGGCAAAGCCTTTTGCTGTATCATTTGTCTATTTTAGAAAATCGACTGCCGCTATAATTCGAGCAGTTTTCAGAATATAGGTTGGTAAGAAAGTTTTCGGTTTTCACGCGAAAATTGCTATTTCTCGGGTTGTAACGCATTTACGAACGCGAAAATTTGTAGTTGCACTCTCACATATACGCGGCTTATACTGTGCAGGTGGGAGGAGCTTAGAGTCAATAGGGGTGGAGTTTGCCACTTTTCGATTATCTAATTTTTCCTGCTAATTAAGCTCAAATTCCACACAGACCGCATAAATGCATGTGAGTTCACGTCTACTATACAGGGGTGTCCAAAAAATGTATCGAACATTTGATTGTTAATATCTCTCTTCCGAAGAAGTCTTTTCCCTTGCTTCAAGTACCAATCTGTAGAGCTGGCTTCAGCCTAGATTTGCATTATAGAACGATTCACTCATCTCTCTTCATTACTGTAGGATTACGGTAGAAACTTCAAAGAGGGTTCTAAGCAATGAAAGGCCATATTTTACCTCAGAAAGAAAACAAAACAGCCCTAAAACTTTTACGCTAGGCTAATTAGAGTTGCTGTTTATAGCTGTAAAGTTCCCAACTTATTATGATGCTTCATTGAAGAGTTATGCCAGGTAAGAGGTAGCGGCCATTTTTTCAATGTTCCTAAAAAGTGCGGTTACACCGTTTAGAAGAGTTGAGTATTAAACTCAGCGTCCATAAAAACCCTATTACACAAGTTTTCACATTTTTTTTTGAAAATTTTTGAAACGGCAGCTTTTTCCACGTTGACACCATATGTTTCAAGTTTCTACCGTAATCCTACAGTAATGAAGAGGGATGGGTGATTCGTTCTATAGTACAAATCTAAGTTGAAGCCAGCTCTACAAAACGGTATTTAAAGCAAGGCAAAAGACTTCTTGAGAAGAGAGATAATAACGATCAAACGTTCGATACATTTTTTGGGACACCCTGTATACTGGAATATTTGTGAGTGTTACAGTGTTTACGGAAGGTGGAGTTCTGAGCTCTGTCGAAATCCTATGTCTTCGAATTTTCGCCTTTATTTTCACAGGATTCATTAGTATGGTTGTGATTAGTATGGTCTTGTAGTGTTTGCTTTCCTCTATCCAATGATGTACAACATGCCTTATTTGGTGCTTGCATCGAAGCATTATCTTTGTATAAAGGCAATGTCCGAGAACTTTCTTACCAACCTAATAACTCAACAGCCTTTTTTTAAGCTTTAATAGGAACGTTATTATGATAGATTACAACTGTGCGTGACTAATTTATAGGGCTAAGACCATAAAATTTCATTATTAGTTTTACGAACAAGATCATGTCGCTTATGTTTACAATTTATGAAGAATTGTTTTATAGCTCATAAAATCGCATACCTTCATAACAGTGGATAGCCCAAGTCAAGCATATCGAGGCCAAAGCGATCACGACATGCTGAAGAAGTGCCATATGGCGAGTGAAGCATTCAAATAAATATCTGTACAGAGCTACTCGAGTTTTGCACCTGCAAATGGCAACAAATATTCAGTGCACAAAATTTCCTTTTGATTCGTAGCAAAGATCAAAAATAAAAAAGTTTTTTAGCTGGAAGATAATCACTGGCATGATTTTCATAAATTTACTCGCGAAAGTACTACTAAACAAGGAAGCAGGGTCTCGTGGACGAGTGTGATCAACCTTTTTGTGTCTGGAAACAACAAAATACCCTAATTTCACGCGTACAAGGCGCGGGGTGGTCCTGGCTTTCATCGAGCTGCTCAGCCGCCCCAAAGTGTTTTAAGAAGCGATCCTTATGCCGCACGATTCGTCAGGCAAAACGCAGCACGGTATGGGGTTCCTTTAGTTGCGAAGTCCTTTGCCGTGTTCGGGCTGGTCGAATAAAGCTAGGACCACCCCGCGCCTTGTACGCGTGAAATTAGAATACCGATTTCTTTGTGATGCCGTTAACATTGGTCAACAAATGCAGCAAAACTCAGAATATCTGCTTAACTAAAGCAAAAAAAAAGAAAGCAAAGCTTTATCTGCGCTTTGTTGCGGAAAATCTAAGAACTGTCGAAAGCCTTTTCCTGCCTGCTCTTGCATTTGGCCGATACATGGAATATGCCTATGTATAAGTGGGTCCAAAAGTTCATTCGCCATTTTTCAATGAATCATAATTTTTTTCGATAGAATGAATTTCTTTGCTTTATATTCATTCGAAAGAGGAAACCTTCTCTTTATTGCAGTACCTTTGCCATGAACTGACATGAGAAAGTTTGAGAGTTAGAAACAACTGAAGAAAATTACTCGATATTGACATTTTTCAAGCAGGTTCACAAAAAATTTTGGAGGTATTTTTGTATAATGGAGAAAACAGCGCTCATTGCTGTAACACCTTTCCCATGAATTAAAACGGAAAAGATCGAGAGTTAGAAAGAAATAGAAAGAATTCTTTTAGTTTTACAGTTTTTGAGTATGATCAAAAAGCCTAAAAACGTTACAGCAGAGACCGAAACGGTCATCAACATAAGTTTTGTGGCCTTTGTTCTAGCTGAGCGAAAGTCGTGCTAATCAGGAACATTTTAATGTGGAACAATCCGAAAATCAGAAAGTATAAAAAAAGCTATTTCAAATAGAGATCTAGTGATTACGTAAATGACAAGCAAAGATAAATTCTTATTTCATCAAAAACTACATGAGCATATAGTTTTGAGTTGTGTTGAATGCGTATTTGATAGCAGAAATACTGAAAGGACAACACTGAAGTAGATTAAAGAACTTGGGTGAGGCAAGAATGAACTTTCCATAACGACACTCATTGTATTCGTTGATTGTAAGGTGATCGTATTGTCCCTTATGTACATATAATAACTACTTTTAATGTCGATAAGATCGACACTGTGCTAATTCGCAACCTAATTAAAATGGCCTTTATTACCAACACAAGTAAAGCGCTACACAAACTGCTGGGTACAGCTAGAGCGTGGACAATGGGACATAGTAACCTCCCTTCATCGCAATTTGGCTGACTCAGGCCTAAGTCGAACTTACCGCAACCCAGTTTAGTATTAACAATGCCGTCAACCTTGGTGCGGTCCGCTATGAACATGTAAGCTAGCGCCTTCAAAGGGTTCTTTCATACTACGCCGCGCACGCCGCATACGACGCGTACGCCACGTATGACGCTGCAGCGCAAGGAAATACGGGGATATGAAGAAGAGAAATCCTTTTCATCTAGTGATGTGTTTGTAAGGAGATGTTAACAGCGCAAATATACAACCAGATACAACATACAACCATACAACCATATACTACCAATATACAACCAGATGACGCAATGTGCAGTCAGTTACGATACAAAATGTAAAACTCAAAAGTAGAGGGAGCACAACAGCCTAAGTCATTCCATCAATCATTGATATAGGCAAAGAATAGACAGGATAAACAAAGCAAAAGAGAAGAAGAAATGCATAGTGTGAAGGAACACTATCGAGGGACACGAATGTGCAGCGAATATAGAGATACATCAAAAAAAGTGGAGTTCTGCTGCCGTGAGCATATTTCCATTGCGCTGCAGCGGCGTACGCGGCGTACGCGGCGTAGTATGAAAGAACCCAAAGGAACAGCCTTAATATTTCTGCAGACATTCACAACAGGGTCATAGTTCGCCACGCTTGGTGGCACCATTTTTGCTACAGCCAAGGCGTCTTTGATCTCGGAAACTATCGATGATGAAAAGGATTTTGCCTAGAAAACAGAGAGATTGAACAAAATCAAAATATTTCAGCATATTAGGTTGGCACATAAATTTTGCGGCCTTCCCCATAACTTTCTTCTTGATAAATCTAGCACCCTCATTTTATGGCATCGTGTAGAGTGTGACGTAAGCTGCAAGCCTGTGCAAACTGTTTGATTTATGATAAGAAGAAGAAAAAATTTAAGCATTTTCCGAAAACCCTTGAAAATCGAGGTTTCACAGTTTTTTTTTTTGACAAACATGAAATCGTGTAAACCTGAATCAAACAATATCATAAAGGAATCATAGGCAGCATGTAGCTAGAAGTGGACACATCAGAATCAGTTAAAAAAGTGAAATTCAAAGGCAAACTAAGATAAGGAGCCTTTGAGAAGTAGAACAAGGAAAAGGTCAGGTTTCGTATTCATTTTGTCAATAACTAAGCTGCAAAACCTTAGAATTCACTAAATCTTTGCACAGTAGGGTAATTCAATAAGGTGAACACGAATTTATATTCATTTGTCGCTAAGATAACATTCATTTTTTGGCTTTATGAAGGATGTCTCTTCATGCGAAACGGGTCTTATTTTTGTGATCAGCACGTCGAACAACCCTCATAGGCCAAATTTCAGCAAAATCTGACGCAAGCCCAAAATTTCCTCTTCGACAATTTGATCGTAAACCTATCGTACCCCTCACATAAGATGGTAAAATTTGACAAAATTGTCCGCTTTTGCAGTTTATATCATAATCCTTATAATGCCAGAAAATGAATGCGCTACGTTCAAAAAGACAAAAGTTATATAAAAAGTCATTACGTATGAGCCAACCTAACATATGAAAAATCACGCATGTCGAGAAGAAATAAAGCAATAAATTCTAATACTAGGAGTTTGGTGCCAAATTTTTTGGAAATCAAAGCAGTCTTTGCAAAATAAGGGGAAAGCTTATTGCCTTATTTCCTGGCTTCATCAGCTGTATATTGGCTCTTTCTATCGCATACCTACAAAATGTAGCTTTGCTCAATTGTCGTCCATGGCATTACTGCATTTTACGTCTCTTATGTTACCATAAGCAAAACTTACGCTATTTTGGTCTAGTTCTCCACTTCTTGCATACTATCTTGTCAAATCAACGTGAGACCTCCCTTCAACTTGCGCAAGGCGGTAAAGTGACCGCTGCACTTGATCGGACCGTCTTTCAACTGTTGAACTTGCTATATCAAAGCACGGGGAGCTGGGTAACCATAAGGACCTTCGAAGTTTTTTTTTTTGAGGGAGGCGCTCAGTTTGACTAAGCTGACTTCCTCAAAAGAAGGGCTTGCTACTGGTCTGTGACTGATATAGGAGGTCAGTCGGATCCGGCGCGATTTCAACTTCCCGCTTTTAAAAATGTAATCTATTCTTCAGATTTACTTTTTTTTATAAGGGGCTTTGTATGATTTTTCATCACGCAACCAAAACGCTGCAACAATGTATGCGATTTGAAAGTATGAAAGCGCTATGGACAATATCAACGCGTCAGATTCACTTAACAAAAAGAACGAGTAGACAAAAGCAGGTGATTCGCTGAGATAAAGCAAACTTAAGCAAAGTTAGCTTACACTTCGCTGACGGAGAGACACATCTTTGAATTTTACAGTCCAAAGAAATACAGACTGAGAAAAAAGAACCCCTCAGTCTTGTTGTTTCTGTCTGTCATGCAAAAAGAATCTTACAAGTCACTTAACTTAGGTCGGCCTTTTGAAATGAGACACACATATTTAGAATGAGCTCGCTGATTCCAAATATGCTGTCCTTAGCTGCGAATCATTCCTCTAAAGCGAGTTATGAGTTTTTTAGTATGTGTAATTGACATATAACTGAATATGGAAAGAAGGCCTTGAAAGCCTGCCTAAAAAAGTGGTGGGAAATCGAAATAACATCAAACTGAGTCATTTGCCTTTGATAGGGTGTTGTACGCATTTGAACTACTACAGTCGAGTAGATTCAGCGGTAAATATAGTGTGCTTGCACAGAAGGTGAGATGCGGTAAAATTTGCGCGTGAAGAAATAGCTTCGATTGTGACGCCGGCCAATTGCGCGCGCACGATTCCCGCAGTACTGGCGTGGCTACTTGTTCACGCGCAAATTTCACCGCATTTCACCTTATGTGCAAGCACACTATATTTACCGCTGAACTACTCGGTCTGCTGAGTCGCAAAAAATCCAAGACCCTAATTTTTATTGGTACACTTTCTTTAAGGTTTAAATCCTATCTATTTCGCTGAGGTTTTCGCAGAGGATCCGCCAACTCGGCAAAAACATTGTCCAGCCTGCCAGCTGTGCTGGGCTCTGACAGTAGAGATCTGATATACAGTGCGTCTCGATTGTGCTGCCATTTCAGAGCGGCATATGTGAATTATATCAATAAAATTGAAACATTTATTTCGATGTTTCATATGATAGCAAGACAAATTTAAAGAAGCCAAGACAAAGATTAACAAGATGGATAAACAACAGTAAAGAGCTCCACACAAGCAAAACTTCAGAAGGAAATTCACACTCAAAGAATCTTGAATAGTCCGCAAGGAGAAAACCACACTTTTTTTAGAGTACATAAATCACAGGCAAACTATACACAATAAGCGAGACAGCTGTTTGTACTGTTTTTTGACAGCTATTAGTAAGCGAAGATGTGACAGCTTGTAGATATAGTGATATGGATTGAAAAACAACAGTTCATTCGCAATGCC